TTCACCAGCAGTCCTCGATGACAGTACAGCCTGGAGGTTGACTGAGAATGTTTTGTAGCAATTTGGCAGAATAATTTATGTTAGATCTCACAACAAAAATCAGGGGCAGCCTCCCTGGTGGTGCAAAGGGTTAAGCACAGCACTGTGAAGCTATCCACAGCCTCTGCAGTGGGTAGCCAGCCAGGGAGCTACCCACATGGCACAGCAGACCTCTCCTGTCTCACCTGCTGCTCCCCTCAGCAGTGTATTTCAGTCAATCTGCCTGTTCTGCTCCCCACTCTGTCTCTGGTGAATCCTCTCATCCCCCGCACCTCTGGCCTGCACCCCAATTCTTATATGCATAAATAAATAAATCTTTAAAAATCAGGGGCTTACAATTTGTTTTTTTGCGAATTGATTTTCACTGTTAAAGTAAAAAAAGTACAAGTTTCTGATGGATTAGAAATATGCACTGGCCTTGCCCACAGGTGGCTGAGAAGCCCTTCCCTTGTGAACAGCCTCGTGTCTACCTCTTGCTTTATGCTGTGGGAGAGGGTCTCTCTGCCAGGGATCTAGAGTCGGAATTCTCTAGGCTGAAGGACATGGACATTCTTAATTGTAATAGTGTCATTGTATTCCCCCACTCCCCCCAATTTTTACTTTGTTTAAATTCACATGTTCCTGTGCAGCTTTGTGTTCATATGTTTATTTTCTGTTTATATGTCTTCTGGAGCTCAGGAAGCCATTCAGGCCCTGAGTTGTGACAATCTTTTCTTAATCTCAACTGCTTTGAAATTTTGGGCCATCTGAAGAGTTGGACTGGGCAAAAGGATTTCTAAACACTTCAAATCTTCCTGTTGGAAACTGAGCCTGGGCTGTATCCAGGCCCTGCGTACACGTGTCTGTTGGCAAAGCCCAGGTCTCCACTTCCAGAATTCCTTCTCCAGATTCATGAGGATGACCCCAGAGGGAAAAGCTCACCAAAAGAACAGGCTGATAATATATGCGGAGCAAGGGTGGAAGGGTAGTCTAATAAGAGCCAAGAAGTAGATCTGGGAAGTCAGGATGGGCCAGGGGATCGTGAGAACCTGGGCCACACCGCAGTGCATTTCAGTCCAGGCAAGTTCTATTTTCTGGAGATGTCAGAGGAACCTGGGGCCTGAGAGATCAGTAGCACTTTGTCAACCCAATGGTCTAAGCAAACAAGAAGCCAGGAGGTCTTACATCTATTTGCTTAATCTTTTAACACTGCTTATTGGTGGGGTTGACAAAACTCAGACCTCCTGAAATAATACAAGGCTTTGTTCCCATCCAACTCAAACAACGAACTGCAACTACCAAGATATTAAGCCAAACCATCACTCATTTCTCCGGGGCATGCTTTTGTGCAAATACTTGCCCTGTCAGCCCTGGGAGGCCATTTCCAGACCAGTCCACCTAGTGGCAAGCAAGCAGGCTGTGTGGAGGAACTTGACATGAGACAGAAGCAAAGGGAAGCAAGCAGAAGCAAAGGGAGATTGCAGAGTTGAGGGCAGACCTCGAACAATCTAACACAATCCTTACCCAAATATGTAGCTTCAAGTACCAACTCACAGTACCATTCCTAGACCCCAGATAAGTGACTTAGCTTCTCTGCACCCCCAGCAAAAGAATGTAGTGGGAAATTGGTGAAGTTCTCACGGGGTCTTTAGCTTGATTAAGTGTGTTACAGCAGGGCTGATTTCCTGGTTTTGATCACTGAGCTACAGTTTTTTAATTTAGGGAGGCAGCTGGGGAAACTCTGCTATTTTACAACTTCTCTACCAAGTTTACTACTTATTTTTCCTACTACTTTTCTAAATGTAATTGTAGATCTAAATGTCATTTTTTATTTATTTATGCATACAAGAGGTGGGGTGCAAGCCAGAGATGAGGCGGGGTGAGAGGATTCATCAGAGACAGAGTGGGGAACAGAACAGGCAGACTGACTGAAATACACTGCTGAGGGGAGCAGAGGCAAGACAGGAGAGGTCTGCTGTGCCATGTGGGTCACCTCCCTGGTCTGGCATCAAACTCATGCCACAGTAGCTGGTGATAGCTTGATAGTACTGAGACTTTAACCCCTGTGCCCTGTGTCACCAGAGAGACCCTAAATTTCATATTTTTAAAGCAGTAAACTTACAGTTTTCCCACAGTCTCTTTATTAGAAAAGGGACAGTCACCACATTTGTGTTGATTTGAGCAAGCCTCAAGAACTGAGACAATGGATCTCAAAATCTTTATGTGGAAATGGGGAGGTGAGAGCTGAGACATTCTCTCTCTGAAACATGCTCCTGAGGTTGCAGGAAGGAAAAACAACAAGGTCCCATTTGAATAGATTTGGCAGAAAAATGCCAGTGGCCTTCCCAGGGCCGCATACATTGATCAGCAGCACTGGCAGCTCTATGTTCCCAGCTGAGGTGTCCCAAGTGTGCACCCAGTGCCTGATTTCATAGAAAATGATGGACACGCCTGTGTCAAACAAGACCACCTTTCACTACAACCTCACTGTTGCTGAACTGGAATCAGGAGCCAGTGCTGCAGCCAGAAGTATTTCTGGAACATTTGAAATGTTCTCAGTACCTCAGTTGCAGGCAGAGAACGGGGAGCCCCCACAGAAATACCAGGAAGCACAGAACAAGGCAAAGAGGCTGGGTTGCCACGTCTGCTCCTGCCCTTTAAGCAAATACCAGGCTGTTTGAGGCCAGGGGAGAAATAAATATTGACAAAGGTGAGGACCAGCAGCAATGCCAGGTGGCCAAGCCTGCAAAGGGAGCTGGGCACAGAAATGGTCCCCCAGAGAAAGCCCCAAAGAAACCCCAGCTCCCTGAGCTCCCCTCCCCAGGGCCCACGGAGAGGCCTCCTTACAGATGTCCTCCATGGTTCTGGACCCGGGGACCTCAAGTCAGCTGCCAGGATGGCGAGCCAAGTCAGGGGCTCAGCTGTTCATGTTTAGCAAAGGTGTGGCCCCCCATAATCTACAACAAGTGCTGAGGCTGGAAGAACCTAGGTAAATAAATATTCGTCCTGCCTCAGAAGAGTATGATGAAACCCCCCCAGTCCAAAGGGCCTGTTGGCATTCTCAAGGTGGAACTCCTCAAGATGTGGGTGCAGGACTCTCATCAGAGTCCTCTGGGTAAAATGCACATTCCCAGGCTCCACCTCCCTACACAAACCCCTTGAAATCCTCAGGGTGAACCCATTTGCATTTTTATCACCTTCCCTACTGATTTCGATATCTGTTTGGGTATGAGTTTCATCAAACCACTTAATAGAAAGGAAACTGAGGCTCAGAGAAGGGGTACAACTTGCTCTGGCCACAAAGGGAGGGAGGGGAGCCCCAGTGTCCTGGCTTCCACTTCACCTGTCCAAAGCCTCACAGAGTGGAGCAGTCACACCTGCTTCTGGAACCACCCCATCCGAACCACCCCATGCAACCATCCCATCCGAATTGTCAGGATAATCTCTCTGGACCATGTGAGTCTCAACCCTTCCCTTCAGGAAGCGCCCCCCTCCCGAGTCTAGGAATGAAGCCTCTGTCTGTTCCCCAGGGTGCCCCTCTTTCCAGTATCAGCCACATTGGAGCATGACTAACCACTAGCTCATGGGTGCCCCTTGTAGGGAGCTGCCCAGCGTGTGGACACAGGCGCTAGGGTGACACCATCAGGAAGCTCCCAGCAGTGTCACACTTACCCATTTCCACCAGGCAGTTCTAACAGATGAGGAGAAGGTCCCCAAACCAACTCAGCACCCTACTCAGCGCCAGGGTGCCTGTCATCCAGCCATGGGTCATCTGCCGTCTGTGGGTCAACCGCTGCAGTGGAGGGAAGAAGGTTCTCCTGGGCCAAAGCTCAGTGCTCTGAACACTCCTGTAAGCACAGACAGGGTCAGCTCCACCAGAAGGCAGGGCTGGAAGTGGAGCAGAGGAGGAAGTGGGGGGAGTGGGGGAGTCCTCCAGGGGGAAGTGGGGGGAGTCCCAGCCTCACAAGGAAGCTCATCCCCCATGAGGGCTACTCTGGTGACCTTTAAGTTTTTCCAAACCAAGTCCAGTCCTGTCTCCCTGTCTCTCCTACCGTCACACCTGGTTCTGCCTTGCAGTGCAACCCAGCACAACCTCTCCCTTGATTTACCTGGTAACCCTAAAGTGTTTGCTGACAGCTCACATGCTCCCAAGCAACCACCCCAAAAATCTGCTCCCATGACATCAGCCCAGCATTCTCAATTTCTTTCCCCGTTTCTGATGTTTTGGAGTCCTGACCTCGCCCAGGCCTGCTGCCCACCCAGCCATGGACATTCACCTTCCATCACACACAGGTCACTCTCTTGCTCACACCTCCATAGGTCCCTATTATATAATATCTGGATCTCCATTTTGGTGTTTAAGATCCAGCTATATCTAGCTCCCAAAATCATCAGTCATTATTTCACATAAACCTGTCCTGATTATTTGAATTAAAAAAAATTGGGGGCCTCCCTGGTGGCACAAGTGGTTAAATCTCAGCACTATGAAGCTATTGGCAGCCACTGCAGCATGAGTTCAATCCCTGGCCAGGGAGCTAAACCACACAGCACAGCAGACCTCTCCTGTCTCGCCCGCTGCTCCCCTCAGCAGTGTATTTCGTCAGTCTGCCTGTTCTGTTCCCCGCTCTGTCTCTGGTGAATCCTCTCCCCCCATCCCTTGTGCCTCTGACCTACAGCCCAGGTCTTGCATGCATTAATAAATAAAATAAATCTTTTTTAAAATTGTATTAAAGAAATTCTCTGACCCGCTTGAAGACTGCCCCTACCTCATTCTTCTATATCATCCCTGAAACAGGGGAGAAAGAAGACACCAACAATCTTTGTACTTTCCCTTCACTTTTGATGTGAGCCCAAAGCTGCTCTAAAGAAACAATCTTTTCTTTAAAAATGAAGACACACACTGGGGTATGGGAGGAGAAGGAGCTGAGGGGACATGGTTCACACTTGTACGAAAAAACGATGGAAGGATATTTTGGCACATCACCTCCACGGCCTGTCATCATAGTGACTTTATTTGCTTTTCTTGTATTTTCTACCATAACAGCCATCAAGTTTAACAGACATGACTAAGTCTCTGCAGTTGTGGTCTTGGGCAAGTGACTTGGGCAAGTGACTTTATCACTCTGAGCCCTGGCTCCTCATCGGCTGCATAGAGACTGCAGTAAATTACGAAAGAGGCTATGATCCTTGCAGCTCCTTCCAGCTAAAGATAGAGTCAATTTGCCCTCCTCTTGCATCTAAACTGGCCTGGTGAGTTGTTCTGGCGAAGAAAATGTGGCAGCACAGATGGTAGCCAAGTCAGCTCCCACGGGATCTCTTGAAAGCTGGTCCAGCATCCATGAGCACAGGCTGGAATGGCCTCAGGGATGAGAGGCCATACAGAGCAGAGAGGAGCTGTTGGGGGAAAGGATGTCCTGAACAAACTCCACAAACAGGGGTTTTATGGACCCCACCCCCACCCCAAAGAGATCCAAGACACCATGGAGTACAAATCCCATAATGTCCTCACTACCAAAAGTATTGCTGGGAACTGAGGGTGGACTTAGGCAGCCAGGCTTGGTATATAGCCAGACACGTGGACCTTGGGAGTCCTTTGGTTTTCACCAGCTTTCAGCATGTTATTGGGTTCCCAGATCAGCAGAACTGGTAGGATACATTCACCAATTTATCATTCTCCCTGAGTTATTCTTTTCTTCATTCCCCCTTTTTGTAAATAAACCCTTTATTAACCTTTTTGTGTGTGCCTGTAGTTGAGTCTCATTATACGTCCCAAGCACACGGGTAAAGACCCACAGTCAGGCAACCCATTTCACATTGGGGTTGCCCTGTAAGAGTGCCAGCCCAGTTAAGGCCATTCAGGGCATCAGTCCTCTCCCTCACCCAGTCAGCTGAGCTCAGACAACTGAGTGAATCCAACTACCAGAATTGCCCAGCTGAGCCCAGCCCTTAAAAGTAAATAGTCGCTAATTAATAAACGGACAGAAGATCTGAATAGGTCACCAAAAAGGAAATCCAGAAGGCCAACAGATACATGGAGGAAAGTTCATCATCACTTTTAATAAGAGAAATGCATTTGGAAACCACAAAAAGAATAGCACATATTAAAAAGCTCCCCAACAATTAGTGCTGTAGAGGGCCTCCCTGGTGGCCTACGGTTAAGTCTCAGCCCTATCACCAATGTGGCCTGAGTTCAACCCCCGGTCAGGGAGCTAGCACACATATGGTGCAGCAGACCTCCTCTGTCTCACCCACTCTTCACCTCAGCAGTGTATTTCAGTGGATCTGCCTGTTCTGCTCCCCACTCTGTCTCTGGTGAATCCTTTCACACCCCACAACTCAGGCCTGTACCCCAGTTCTTGTATGCATACATAAATAAATCTTTTTTTTTTAAAGATTTATTTATTTTATTTATACAAGAACTGGGGTACTGGGCCTCCCCGGTGGCGCAGCGGTTGAGCGCTGGGTTGCAAAGCTGCCCACAGCCTCTGCAGCGCCGGTTCGATCCCTGGCTGCTCCCCGGCCACCGGAGGAGGGCCCCGCATGGTGCACAGACCTCTCCTGCTGCCCGCTGCTCCCCTCAGCAGGGTACTTCGGCCCTTCTGCCTGCTCTGCTCCCCGCTCTGGCTCTGGTGAATTCTCTCACCCTCCCGTGCTTCTGACTGTACCCAGTGCATGTATAAATAAATAAATAAATAAATCTTTTTAAAAAAAAACAAAAAAACAAAAAAAAAATACCTTGGGAAAAGGTGGGAGGGTGTGAGGACTCACCAGAGACAGAGAGAGGAACAGAACAGGCAGATTGATGAAATACACTGCTGAGGAGAGCAGTGGGCGCGACAGGCGAGGTCTGCCGCGCCATGTGGAACCCTCACCTGTCAGCCAGGATCGAACCGGCGCTGCAGAGGCTGTGGACAGCTTCACAGTGCGGTGCTCAACCGCCTGCACCAAGAGGGGAAGCCCCATAAATAAATCTTAAAAAAAAAAAAAAAAGTGCTCCTACTTCATGACTTTTATCCTTGCCCTTTTCTGGACCTGAAAGCCACTCCCCAAAAATACCCACGTCTTCCCTCACTGCCCCCAGGTCTCTGCTCGGTGTGGCCAACAATGCCCCATCTATATAAAATAACAGTTCCATCCACACTCCCTGGTTTATGTCTTCCCATAACAATTATCATCTCTCATTTTTATGCATCCAGTTATTATTTCTTCTCTCTTGCCCCAGCATACTCAGCAGGAAGTAAACTGCATGAGGGCAAGGACATTATTGTGTTTGCTGCTATCTGCCAGCATCTAGGGGGGCTCAACTTTTTGTAGAATAAATGAATGAGTTCATTCCTTCTCCTCAGAGGCCACCCCTTGGAGGGTTTATTCTGGGCAACCCTCCATTTACCCTTCTGGCTCTGGCCCTCATTCCCCTGGATCTCAGTAGTTCTTTCTTTCCTGGGAATAATCCCTTTAAAATGTAAAAATGTCTTCTGCCCCATTTTTTTTAAAAAAAAATTTTTCAAATATTTATTTATTTATTTATACAAGCACTGGGTACAGTCAGAAGTGCGGGAGGGTGAGAGAATTCACCAGAGCCAGAGCAGGGAACAGAACAGGCAGAAGGACGAAATACACTGCTGAGGGGAGCAGCGGGCGGCAGGAGAGGTCTGCGCGCCATGTGGGACCCTCGCTGGCGACCGGGGATCGAACCTGCAGAGGCTGCAGAGTCTGCAGGCAACTTCGCAACCCAGCGCTCAACCGCTGCACCACCAGGGGAGGCCCTGCCCCATTTTTTGATCCCTCCCTCCACCAGCAGAGATATTCCCACATCTATTTTTCAGATAAGGAACTGGAAACTGAGTGACTTACACAAAGAATTGGGGTTATTTTGAGGTATATCTTGCCCACACGGCCTCAGACCATTGGACAGAGACATCTCCTTCCACTGCCCAGATCCCAGAACTACCCCCAGTCAGGAGACACAAGCTGATCCCTTTCTCCCTCTCTCAGCCAGCACAAGGGCCTTATCAGTCCCTAAAGAAGGAGAGGAAAAGCAAAGCCCTTCCCCCCACCCCACCCCCAATCCTGTCAGGCATCCTGAGGCCTGACAACCCTAAACCAATCAACCTGGAGTTTCCTCATCAGCACCTGTGAGGTCATCTGCATGATAAGATCCCCCTGCCTTCCCCTGAGGGAAAGAGGCTTTATCTGAAATAATCTTTTTTGCTAAAAACTTTGTCTCAGCCTCTGTCTATAAATATCCTCCATTTTGTTTAAGTCCTTGAGGCTGCTGGATTCATGAAGCATTTAACAAAGTCAATCAGATAGATCTCTAAATGTGTGAATTTTGCTTTTCAAAATGCATAAGCATTCAGAAAGTGGGCTCCAGAAGTCCAGCAAGGGGTATGGAGATGAGCTGGGTCCTCAAGCTGGGGCTGCATGTACTTGTTATAGGACAGGGAGAGGGGCAGCCCAAGCCCCACAAACCTGCCTATTCTACATGGGTTCTGCCATCCGCCGCATCAACACAAAACATAGGAGACTTTAATGGGAAGGAACTTTAATAAAACTAGGAAACAATACAGGTAAGGCAAAGAGTCTAGTTTCTAAATGAAGCACCCAAAGTTACCCGTCCCCTCGTGGGTAAAAGTCCATCCGTATGGGAATGGCCCAGAGCAAGGCCCCAAAGCCTGCCACAAGTCTAAAGCATCTTCCAGTGGGGACCCACAGCAAAGGGTCACAAACAACTGGACAAGCCCGGAAGGAAAAGAGCAAAATCAACATTAAGATAAAAGCTGCCATGGTTACCTCCCCATGGGTCTCACCCACATCTGTGTCACCCAGTCCACGACCAAAAGACAAGCACAGTTTCTTCACGTGTCTCTAGGCTCCATGTGCCTCCTCCAGGTCTCCTGGCTCCATCCTGCTTTCTTCCTTCCTCAGTCTCTTCTGCAGCTTCTCCTCTTGCTGCTCAGCTCCACCCTCCCCTGGGTGGGGCAGGGAACCTGGAACTTCCCCCTTTCCTGGGGACCACCCTGTTACAGACTCACCAGCTCCTACCCTTCACTGGCGCTGCCCAGGCTGGTGGACTGGACTCCTGTGGTGGACATGCCCTGAGGGGAAACTGAAAACAGCTTTAACACAGTGCCCCAGGGAGCAAGAGCAAAGAAAGACTCCCTAGGGGGTATCTCAGCAGAGCAGACAAGAAGGGGGAAGACTCTGTCAATGTTTCACCTTCAGACTAAGTAGTGAATTCTCTCCCAGCATGCTTCCAGGGAGCAACACCTAGGGTCCTGCAGGAGCTACCTTGTAGAATTAGAAAGTTATATAAGGCGGGACTCCCTGGTGGCACAAGGAGTTAAGACGTGGCCTATGAGGCTGTCTGCCGCCTCTGAGACACAAGTTCAATCCCCGGCCAGGGAGTTACTCACATGGCACAGCAGACCTCTCCTGTCTCATCCACTGCTCCCCTCAGCAGTGTATATCGTTCAGTCTGCCTGTTCTGCTCCCTATTCTGTCTTTGGTGAGTCCCCTTGTAGTATAGGACAGGGAGAGGGGCAGCCCCGCTCCTCACCACACCTCTGGCCTGTACCCCAGTTCTTATATGCATAAATAGATAAATCTTTTTAAAAAGAAAAAAAGAAAGTTACATGAAGGGAGATACAGGCTCAAGGAGCAGTTGAGCTGAATGCCCAACTGCCAAGAGCAGTTACTTAGGCAGGCAAGAGGGGTGGGGCTAGATACCTGTTATGCAAATGAGGTTTTTAGCCAATGCACTTCTGATTGGTGGAAAGTTTGTCAAGTGGTGATGGCTAGAATTTCTGCCCTGGGTTGTGTTGCCAGTGAGCTTTCATTTCTTCTCAACTGTGGATGTGTCTGCACAACCCCAACACCTACATCTGGTGGGGACCTGACCTCAACAGGTTCCTGGCTCTGTCTGATTGTTATTCAGATTCAGGATGGCTCCATGTTTGTTTTTATTTCATTTGTCAGTAGAGATGGAATGCCTCGAGTTAGCCCCCAGGTAAATGGCTCCAAAGGCAATGATACAAACAGCACTGATTGAGAGCCTAGAGAGAGCACAACTGCAGCCAACAGCCAGGCAGACACATTTATTAAGCATTTACTATGTGCTGAGCACTCTGCCTCTAAAGGCTTTTGATGGATTACCTCCCTCTGGAACTCCTCTGAATTATTACCATCAGCTTCAACAAAACTGGTGGTCCAAATGCCTCTTAGGTACATGCAGGCAGGGCCAAAAACTTCAACAGCTGGACTCTCCTTTTTGTTCAGAATAAAAAACCCCATTTTACAAATGTGGGAAGAAGTGAGCTTCAGGAACTTGTTCCCGCTCACTGCTGTCAGGGAGTAAGGCTCAGGTCAACCATGAACCCTAGATGACCCAGAAACATCACACAGTCCTTCTCCCCGGGAGCCACAGTCCAGAGAGGAAAACAGACCCAGAGGAAATGATCAAGAGAAGTTCAACACAAGGCAGTAAAAGAGAGGCCACACGCTAAAGCCAGATGTTGGGCACCCAAAGGTCCTGCTCGTTGCGCTTTGTGGCCTGCCCCGCTCTCTTTACCAGCTCTGTGACATTCCTAAAAAGTCTGAAAAATTACTTGGAACAGCAATTGGTGGACAAGAGGCCTTGTTACCTCCTACTCTAAAACATTTGCCAACAGTTTTTCCTACCCCCTGTTGGGCTCTGCACACCGGCCACTCCCTCAGAGGCGAGTCAGCCAGCAGTAGGGAAGCAGCCCCTTTTCATTAAGCCTGGGAAGGCTGGCCTTCCAGTGCAATGGAACCCCCAGGTCTTAGGAAACTGCTGAGGAGGCAATAAAATGAGAGGGCTGGGCTGCACGCAAATTACAGAGTGGGTGTCTGTGGAGCAGAGAATCTCTCATTAGCTCGATTATCTATGGGAGGAGAGGCACTGGGGGAGGTGGTTATCTACCCAAAGGGGCCCTAGCCCCAGGTCAACCCTGTTCCCCCCCACTTGTGGGGCGGGGACTGGGTTGGAGGAAGCACATTTTATTGCTCTTTGACTCTGGGCACCTGACTTATCCTCTGAGCCTCAATTTCTTCATCTGTAAAATGGGGCTTATGAGAACCCTTGCCTCACAGGGTATGACTGGGGTTCACCTAAGGTTCTAATCCTGCCTGGGTAGCAGGTAAATTCTGTAAGTGACCAATTTTTGAGCTGGGCCCTGCACTGCTGAAATTAGAACCTTTGGCAGTGGGCCCAGGCATCAGCATTTAAAAGCAGTGACAGCCATGTTGAGAAAGTGGCTATAGCTGCTCGGTTCATGTCACCAATATCAGATGAAATAGCCTACTTGGGCCCAGGGGGTCACTGTCCAAGACCCTCCCCCTCCTAGAAAAGGCTACTTCAGAATAGACAAGGACTGCATCTCTCACAACCACCTCTGCATCCCCAGGGCCTGGGACAGTACCTGGCATAGAGTTTGTGGAATGAGTGCTCTTTTAACAGAAGAAACTGTTATAGGGCAGCCCCTATATTGAACGGGTTGCCTGGCTGTGGGTCCTCACCCGCGCGCTTAAAAGGGACTTATTAATACTCCACTACAGGCACACACAAAAGGTTAATAACATGTTTATTTACAAGGGAAAAGGAAATAAGGAAAATGTACAACTCAGGGAGAAAATAGGGAAATAAAGTCTTTAATGCGTCCTACCCGATCCGCCGACCTGGAAACCCAGTCACTCTCAGAGCTGGCCGGATGCTGCGAGCTGGCGGAGAGCCAAAATGGGGGGACCCCACCAAAGCCCACGTGTCTGGCTTTATACCACCCTGGCTGCTTAACCCCACCCTCAGGTCCCAGCCACCTTCCCTTTGGTGGTGATGGGATTTGGAGTTCCCAGTGTCTTTGGCTTTGGCCTGGGGTGGGGGTGGAGTCCACAAAGCCTGTATGGAATTAGCTTTAGGACATCCTTTCCCCCTAACAGAACCTTTAAACTTAGAGGCAATCTGTTAGCAACAGCAGCAGCCAGACTTGAGGCTGCTTAACATCCATTTCGCATCCATTCATTCATTCCACATATACCCACTGAATTGCCATGTGTGATGGCACTGTTCTAGGCATCTGGGCACATCGGAGAACAAGAGTGGTGAAGAACCCTGCCTACCCTACTTGAGCTGACAGCTCAGCAAAGAGAGATGGAAAGTAAGCGATAATATAAAGAATAAAGATTGACAGGTTTGTGGGAAAAAAAATTTTCTTAAAGATTTATTTATTTATGCATACAAGATCTGGGGTACAGGCCAGAGATGTGAGGGGTGAGAGGACTCACCAGAGACAGAGTGGGGAACAGAACAGGCAGACTGACTGAAATACACTGCTGAGGGGAGCAGAGGGCAAGACAGGAGAGGACTGCTGCGCCATGTGGGTAGCTCCCTGGCCGGCCGGGGATCGAACTCGTCCTGCAGAGGCTGTGGATTGCTTCATAATGCGGTGCTTAACCCCTTGCGCCACCAGGGAGTCCCCGAAAAAAAAATTTTTTTAATAGAGTATGGCAAGGTAGATCAGAAATCAAATAGGTGATCAGGGAAAGCCTTCTTGGTAAGGCTTGATTTGAACAAATCAAAGGTAAGGTAAGATTTGAACAAAGATTGGAAGTAGATGAGGGAATGCGTCATGGAAAACAGGGGCAGAACATTCCAGCATGGGGACAGCTGGTACATAGGGCCTGAGGCAGAGTGTGCTTGGGTTTGCAGGAGTGGAATGAAGTAGGGAGGTCCAAGCAGAGAAGAGAAGAGAGGCCGGGGAGGTCCAATTACAATTGCTGCATAACTAACACAAATTTAGTATATTAAACAACTACATCTTATTCTACTTTTAGAATTTCTCGGCCAAGAATTCAAACAATGGGGGCCTCCCTGGTGGTACAAGGGGTTAAGTCTCTGCACTATGAAGTTATCGGCAGCCACTGTAGCATGAGTTTGATCCCCAGCCCGGGAGCTGACCCACATGGCTCAGCAGACCTCTCCTGTCTCGCCCACTGCTCCCCTCAGCAGTGTATTTCATCAGTCTGCCTGTTCTGTTCCCTGCTCTGTCTCTGGTGAATCCTCTCCTCCTCCCGCTCATCTGGCCTGTACCCTGGTTCTTGTATAAATAAATAAATAAATCTTTAAAAAAAAGATTTATTTATTTATGCATATAAGAGCTGGGGTACAGGCCAGAGGTGTGGGGGGCAGGGTGAGAGGACTCACCAGAGAGAGTGGGGTACAGGACAGGCAGACTGACTGAAATACACTGCTGAGGGGAGCAGCGGGCAAGACAGGAGAGGTCTGCTGAGCCATGTGGGTAGCTACCTTGCTGGCCAGGGATCAAACTCATGCTGCAGAGGCTGTGGACAGCTTCACAGGTTGTGCGAAGCTCAACCCCTTGGCCACCAGGGAAGCCCCAGGGATAGGTTTTAAAAGTATCCCTTTGGCTGCTCTGTGTGTGTGTGTGTGAATGGAACGCAAGGAGTGGGAGCACATCTAGAATATGGCTAGCCCAGAGCGAGGCTGAAACAAAACTTTGCCAAGTACTGGTAATGCGGGAATTCCCTGATAATGCAGCCTCCTCAGCCTCCACCGCCTTGAGCTTGCGCCAAGGACTCTTGCAATAGCACTTTCCTCCGGCCTATCTCTGAAGCAAGTCACTTCGGGTCAGTCAGTTTCAGGTCCCCTGCTCCTCCTAGCAGGACATGCACTTTAACAGACTGTGCAAAGAGGGTCAAAAACGCTGCAGACATGAAGCAGACTTTAGAAAAACACTTTGTGCAAACCCTATTGGGATTCGCAGCAGGCGTTTCCAGCATTTCCCTGGCTACCGCCACAGACTCAGGATTTCCTGTCTTCTGGGCATCAGTGAACAAACCAAGATCAGCTTCACGGAAGGCATGGGACGGTCGCATCGCCTATTTGCGTGAGTTCGCTGACTCCTTCTCTCAAACCCAGGGCCCTTTTTGTACGTTTTCTTCCTCCTGCCACTTTTTCTGCCCTCAAATATATACCACAAACCTCCTGCCTCCAAACACAACCCAGTCAGAGGCTCCTGAAACAATCAACAAATCCCAGGAGCAGAGAGGCCCTAAGCCGCAGCTGGAGGCAGCTGGAATCTCTGCGAGTTGGCTCTAGCTCCAAGTTTCCATCCTCCAACGAACCTCTCAACTGCTTAGCACAAACCTCCTTTCCCTGGCAGGACAATAGGGAGTTAGGATTTACCAACTATCCCACGAATTACCATGTGTACCAGGAGTAACTGATACTAACCTAATGTTCTGGCATGCCATTTTATGTGCTGTTTCAAATCTTGCTTGTCTGAGGTTGATCATCTGGAGCATGAATTTTTCCCTCCTGGGGTTTGCAGTGTGGAGAAGACAAAGCAAATAACAAACACACCATTTCCAAAACCAGCTAGAAGACAACAAAGTTGCTGTAATGGGGAAGTCTAAAAATTAGAAGGCCAGTAATAAACCCTTCCTGAAACACAAGCAGCTGGCCAGCCTCCCACAATTATCCTTGCAGCAATCCTACACCCTGACCCCCCAAAATCCCTCCCCTTTGATTGGTGTTAAAAATTCCCCATTAGTTGAGGGTTTACCAGATGAATTAATGCACGTGGGAAAGAGGTGGAAAGCAACCATGAGAAAAACAGTGGTGGGCTAGGCTCACGGATTCTCCTCCTTTTCCTGAGGGTTTTGAATATGTCAGGTCCCACGATTTAAGTTTTAAAATTTCGTAAAGCAGGGCATTCCCGGTGGCGCAGCAGGTTGAGCGTAGCGCTGTGAAGCTGTCCGCAGCCTCTGCAGCACAAGTTCGATTCCTGGCTGGCCAGGAAGATTCCCACATTGCTTGGCAGACATCTCCTGACGTGCCCACTGCTCCCCTCAGCAGTGTATTTCGTCAGTCCACCTGTTCTGCTCCCCGCTCTGTCTCTGGTTAATCCTCTCACCCTCCCGCGCCCCTGGCCTGTACCCCAGCTCTTGTATAAAAATAAATCTAAAAAAATTTTTTTTTGTAAAGCATGTAAATAAAGCAAGGACTCACTCAGATAAATTTAAAATCCTCCTCAAACGGCAATATATTATTCCGTCTAACTAATGCAGTCTTCGTAGAAGGGTAGGGTATGCCAAAGGAAGGGCCCAAGCTGGCAGGGCCAGGAGTGAGGAGCCAAGATACCATTGGCCCCCTCCATGTTTGTGTCCTGGGGGCGAGGGAGGGGCCTGTCTTCTTTCTGGTGGGAACATGCAGTGGAAAGACAGATGATACAGAAGTGTGCTTAGGTCTTTGGACCAAAGGAAACTTAAATACCTGGGAACCTCCAAAAACCAACCCCAACTCTGGAATCCTGAGTTTTTTTCTGTAAAATATATGTACAAATATGAATGGGGGAAGAGGGGAGAATCAGAAACATCTAAGACCTTTTTTAGATTTTTATTTTTATTTATTTATGCATACAAGAACTGGGGTGTAGGTCAGAGGTGTTGAGGGGGTGGGAGTGAGAGGATTCACCAGAGACAGTGGGAAATAGAACAAGTGGATCTACTGAAATACACTGCTGAGGGGAACAGCAGGTGAGATAGGAGAGGTCTGCTGCACCATGTAGGTCACCTCCCTGGCCACGGGCTGACAGAACTCATGACAGAACTCATGCCACGGTGGCTGGCAATACTTGAGAGAGCTGACACTTTAACCCCTGCACCACCAGGGAGGCCCAACATCTAAAACTTTTACAGTAAGACAGAAAACTTTTACTTTCTACTTTGTGTTTGTATTATTTGAATTTCACACATTGCTTTTATAGTTAGAAATACACATTAAAAACAAAAAGCAGGGCCTCCCCTGGTGGTGCAGCAGTTGAGCGCTGGGCTGCGAAGCTGCCCGCAGCCTCTGCAGCATGGGTTCGATCCCCGGCTGCCGGCGAGGGTCCCACATGGTGCACAGACCTCTCCTGCCGCACCCGCTGCTCCCCTCAGCAGTGTATTTCGTCAGTCTGCCTGTTCTGTTCCCCGCTCTGGCTCTGGTGAATTCTCTCACCCTCCTGAGCTTCTGACTGTACCCAGTGCTTGTATAAATAATCCTAAAAAAAAAACAAAACAAAGAGCAAATGCCTCTGAATGGCAGCAAACCAAACATACAGTAAGGAATCACTTTGCTCTGCCCACCCAGGCTGTATGGGTATGTTGGTCGAGTCCTGGACTTTTCAGTCCCCAGCTGTGCTTTGAGTTGGTAACCAGTTGCTGCCCAGCTATGGTCCTTTCTGCTTTCCTTCCTGGCAGTCAAGCAGCCCAGCTCTGAACCCCATTTATCTCACAGCTGTTTGACACCAGTTCCAGGAGGCAAGTTCCCAGAACAGGAGCAGTCTTGCAACAGGTTTGCTTTGGGTTACCAGCAATGAGGTCCACAGGAATCCAGGAAGGGACTGTCTGGGGATTGCATCATAGCTTGAAATTTCAGATCCTATGACATTTTCTTCCATCAGCATTTCAGCCACAAGATGAACATATGAGCACCTCTGCAGGAACCCCTGGTTTCCTATTACACCCAGAAAAGGATTCAGAGGGAGGTTGCCCTGGGTCACTCCTGCCGCCTACAGGCGAAAGGCTGACAGTGCAAGGCATTTGTTTCCAAACCTGCTGGATTCCAAAAAGGAAATCCACCCTTTTTAGATATGTGCTGAACATTATCACAAATGAATCTCAACCCTAAGGGAAAGGAAAATGTTGGGGAAACATCCAAAAAACAGGGGGAGGGTAACTGGAGAGATGGGACATCAGCGGCCTACAAGGAATTAATTAATGACCTACTATCTGCATCTCCTCGTGTTCCTTTAGGAAAATGAACTATTGAGTGCTATGCAATCCTCCTCCCTTATGTGATCCTGTCCCTGGCCAATTACCCTTATTAGATGACCTATCTGTAGGGTCCAAAGGACTTGTGTACATTTTCCTTTCCACAAGTTCTCAGGTCTTTCAAAGCAATCCTCAACCTAGAAGCGCTGTCACTTAAGCTCTTAGGCACCCCAACAAAAGCCTACCCACATAGTTTGAAGTGGCCCAAATTCCTCTATTTTTTCCTAACATTTTTAAATGTTTTAAATATATTTTGAAATGTTTGGCTTGAGCCCAGCTGCACTCTTGAAATGTTCCTCAGTAGTTGTGGTTTACCCATTTCATCAGACTTTCTGCCAAGATCCACATAAGACACTTTTCATTTTTTAAGCATAGAACAGGGGCGTAGGCCAGAGGTGTGAGGGTGAGAGGATTCAGACAGTGGGAAAGCAGGACAAGCGGACTAAATTATACTGCTGAGGGTAACAGCAGGTGAGACTGAAGAGGTCTGCTGTGCCATATGTGGGTTAGCTCCCTGGCCAGGGATCAAACTCAGAGTTCAGCCCTTAGTGGTGATAGCACTGAGACTTTCATCTGCAAGCCCAGGCACTGCAGCTGTAGAGCAGCAGCAGCAGCGAGTCCCATGCTGCTTTGCCCTCATTTTTCAGGCACCTGTCTCCTGTCTGTTCACCTAGTTCCTCAAACTGTGTATTGCCCCTCAAGGCAGTGACACCTGATTAACATGGAAAAGGAGGAGACCTCATGACTGCTTTAAGAATGACCATGAGACTTAATCATGGCCTTAAACACATCTAGAATTGTGGCTAAGATTTAAATACTTGAGATCACTATCACTAAGTATTGCTGCAGCTTAGACTTGTCCAGCTCAGTGGCAAGCCCGAGCAAGAAGGGAGACCTATTTGACACCAGCAAGAGACCTAGGTTAAACAGGCCCCAGTAAAGGCTTGAAGTAAGGTGAGGCACTAGTAGCTAAAACTTACTGCACCAGCTGCAACCCAGGTATGAGTAGGCTGCCTCAACCCCCCACACTTGTGTTACTATGGAGAGCATGGGGATGACAGGTTAAAGAGAACAGATAAGGTCAGGAGCCTGAACTTTCTGCTTAGATCCACAGAAGACACCTTTCCTTTCTTATTTTTTAGCACAGAACTGGGATGTAGGCCAGATCAGTGTTCTATGCTTACTTTCTCTCACTTCTTATATTCCACTTCCCAAATGTATGTAACTTGGAGAGAGGTTATGTCTAACCTATCATAAACTTTAGCTATCTGTTTTGGCAGGAAAGACCAACAAGTTCCCTATAGTTCAAATAGACTTTGCAACCTCATACAACTCACAATTGATTAAATAGGGGCTAAAAATGATGAGTAAACAGTTTAAAATATCTTCCCAAGTTACATATTACAAAGCTCTATGACACATGATGGGGGTAAGAAGGGGGCAACACACCTGAAAGACACTACTTCCATGCTCAGTCACCACTAATGATGGGACCTACACAAGGATAGTGTACCTCATTTGTTAGTCTGACAAAAATACAAACCCAAGTACTCATGAACAGGCTAACCCAAATATACACAAAATGTTTAGAATGGGGTAAAACACTTAAGTCTTCTCTCCACTATGAAAGCTAGCTACAATTGCAGTCCTTGGGTGTAACTGGTTCTGTTAGTCATAGAAATACTCCATAAGGTAGCATGATTAATTTATTATACATTTTATTAAAAAATCCAAACGCGCGCGCACACACCCGCCATTATGGAGGGAGTTCACATCTTAAATGTTAGCTCTGTTCATCTTCTAAAGTACATCACATTTGTTTGTATACCCATGATTCTTCTCTCCCCTCAAATATTTATATCCCAACTACAAAATGAAGTTGAGAAGAGTATATAAACAAGACTTTCTTACTCTTGTTACAGTATAAACACTTGAGGTGACTAAAGATCCATGAGAGTAAGGAGGAGGAAATTTGCCTAATTAAGGAATGGAATGTTATCAAGTAGCTGAACTGCTGAAATTGGCACCTACCCTTAAAGTAACTGGCTTGTAGGGCCATGGGCACATGAAACAGTGAGATAACCTGTGCCAGGTAATTGCTTCTACTTGTTTTCAGAAGGCACATTTTTCCTGCACCTTTTCTAAATAGCCAAACACAAATTACAGAACCCAGCATTTAGATCCTGCCCACTCCGAGGTATTAAATGCACAAGGAAAAGATTAGTTATATCCAAATAACATGCAATAGAAATATTTTTAAACCAACATGGTTAAGTGTTAAGATTTTTAGAAATCAAAATATTTATTCACATAATTTTAAACCAAAGTCAAAGTAATAAATCTGTGGTAATGATTTAAGTGCAAGTAATGCTGGTTTTCTTTCACATGTGTCCTTCATTCAGAGAAAAGGCAGATCAGTTGTTCTTGAACAAGTCAATGCAGCTTTGCAAGAGGGAGACATTGTTCTAGAAAACAGAAATCAAAGCACACCAATGAACTGCTAGAATCTAAGACTTCCTACACAGTTAAGAATTAAACTCAAATCTATCAACTTAAGCTTTTCACTCAAGATCTGTAGCCAGTTAAACTGGGTCCATGCTTTTCTTCATTAAAGCAGAATTAACTGCAAGGTAAAGCCCTCTCATCCCAATTTCCTTTTGGCAAGGTCCTCTCCCTCAGAAAGTATGGCACTAGTGCCTGGGAGATGGGCCCACAGCTGAAGAGCTAGTCACCAGCCCACCAGCACCTCCAACCCAACTGTACCAATTCTGCTTACTGTGATTTAAAGGTTATATAAATGAGAAGCTGAAGGCCTTCAAAAGACTGGATTAAAAAGTTCCTAAAAATTAGGTAAGTCATCATGAGTAAAAAAAGATATTTATAGCATTTTGCACAACTTGGTTTATAAAGCTCTCACCTTAAATTTAGAAACTTTGTAATATCCATAACATTTTGGGTGTGATTATATGATACTTAAAAACTCCAATTTAAAAGGTCATACACCAAAGAACTTTGATTTAAAGTGAATAATTATCAGTGGAGTCAAAAGAATTCAAATACACATGACTGTTCAAAATCTTTTTGCTAGAACTAATGCTGAAGGTCAGTGATAATTCCTTCTCCAATGGCTCGCCCCCTTCTGTGGCCCCTGCAGCCAAAAAGCTTTCTCAAATGGGACAGCACTCTGGGGCTCCCTCCCATTTGGCTTTATCTAGGAATTACTCCAAGCTATCCTCAGAAATTCTAAGTGGATGATGGGTTTAGATACCAAAAATTCTTAAAAGTTCTTCAGTAGATACCAATATGTACCCTGAAAAATGGAGAATGTTCTCCTCCATATTTTCTTGTTGGAAGAAAACACTTACCTTGGCATGCTTTATTTCCAGTTCAGACATTTCAATTAGATTCTTTCTAAATGCTGCCACTCTTTTTCGCTTGAAGTTCATCAGTTCTGTAGGAGAGAAGTTTACCAAGAAAGCGTAATAATTTTCATTAACTTCCACATATTTCAACAACAAAATAAAATCTCTGAGGCCTCCCCCTGGTGGCATAGCGGCTGAGCGCTGGGCTGCAAAGCTGCCCGCAGGCTCTGCAGAGCAGGTTCCATCCCCGGCCACTGGCGAGGGTCCCACATGGCACAACAGACCTCTCCCGCCACGCCCGCTGCTCCCCTCAGCAGTGTATTTCGTCAGTCTGCCTGTTCTGCTCCCCGCTCTGGCTCTGGCGAATTCTCTCACCCTCCCGCGCTTCTGACTGTACCCAGTGCTTGCATAAATGAATAAATAAATCTTTAAAAAAAAAAAAATCTCTGAAACTTTGCTGCACCATCATCTTTTCTCTATTTTTATCATCTCTGGCAATTGAGGCATGGTTTGGACAGTTTAAAACTGTAGTATATGATATTCATATTCTTACCATTGTGGGTAAAAGTGAGCAGCAACAAGCATTAACCAAGCATCAAAAACTGAAGAATGGCCACTAACCACTTAGAGATCAAGATGAGCAGCTTTTCCCTTAACCTCTAGGTACCAAAGCATCTGGGGTGGTAAGTCACATACTTGCACTAATGGCATTTTGTTTTCTTTTAAAAGATTTACTTTTATTTATTTATGCATGTAAGAGCTGGGGTGTAGGTCAGATGTGTGGGGGGTGAGAGGATTTACCAGGGACAGAGTGGGGAGCAGAACAGGTGAAATACACTGCTGAGGGGAGCAGCAGGTGAGACAGGAGAGGTCTGCTGTACCATGTTGGGTTAACTCCCTGGCTGGGGATGGAACTTGTGCTGCACTGGCTGCTATTAGCTTGACAGTGCTGAGACTTTAACTCCTGCACCACCAGGGAGGCACAGTGACTTTTTTTTTCTTATTTATTTATTTTTTTTTTTTAAAGATTTATTTAATATGCATACAAGAACTGGGGTACAGGCCGGAGGTGCAGGGGGTGAGAGGATTCACCTGAGACAGAGTGGGGAATAGAACAGGCAGACTGAAATACACTGCTGAGGGGAGCAGTGGGCAAGACAGGAAAGGTCTGCTTCGCCATGTGGGTTGCTCCCTGGCTGGCCGGGGATCAAACTAGTGTTGCAGAGGCTGCAGATTGCTTCATAGTGCGATGCTTAACCCCCTGAGCCACCAGGGAGGCCCAAGGATTATTTTTTTAACTATGAAAACTGCTACTCTCATGTTCATACAACTTTTATATGGATATGTGTAGGAAATGTTGTACCATTAACCCCTGGCCTTCTCCTATTTCTGCCATAAAATTAAGGATTAATGTCTTATTAGAAATTAGGGTAAACCAAAAAACTATTTCCTCTGATTACTTTTTTTTTTTAAAGATTTATTTATTTATTTATACAGTCAGAAGCGCGGGAGGGTGGAGCGAATTTATCAGAGCCAGAGCAGGGAACAGAACAGGCAGACTGACGAAGAAATACACTGCTGAGGGGACCAGCAGGCATGGCAGGAGAGGTCCGCGTGCCATGTGGGACCCTCGCCGGCGGTTGGGGATGGAACCGGTGCTGCAAAGGCTGCGGGCAGCTTTGCAGCGCAGCGCTCAATCGCTGCGCCACCAGGGGAGGCCCTCCTCTGATTACTTTTATAAAACTTTAGAACTTAAACTCCCTGCCCTTTGGTCAAAACCTTCCCTAGGATCAAGCTGATGTTACTTGGTATACTCAGGAGCAAACTTAACCTCTTATATAACAGCTATACAGAAATACAACACAAGTAGTCATGTTAAAAAGTAAACACTCAAAAAAAAAAGGGGGGGGCAAACATCCACATTCTTACACTGATGTGTTAATACCTTGATATGCTAGGCTAAATAGCTATTCCAAGATGTGAGGCTCTCCCCCTTCTAGGCCTGCACACAAGACCAGCACTCAATACTAATGTGTCTTCTTCAATGACTACTCACATCATCCTCTGTACTATGCCCATTTTATTTTGTCAAGTTGTCCTGATTAATCAGATCAGTAACAAAGCTATCAAGAACTTTGACCAAGGAAAACAGGTTAAGACCCATTAATGTCAGTTTCTACAGAATACTGTAATTTCAAATGTAGTATACCCAGGCTTATATTTTGAAAAGAGGATAAAGCAAAACAAACCTTAGGCAACAAGACAGGACTAAATTGGCACTGTTAAAAAGCTTAACAATTTTCCCCACTAATTCCCTGTAAAAATGTCAGTCTCTGGTCTACATAAATAACCTAAGACTTCCAACTCAGTTCTGAAGTTGGTTCTTGTCCTTATAAAGTGAAATTAGCTTTCAAAACAGGTCATGCGTTTATTTTAAGAATAGAGTATTCCTTCTTTGAAGGAATACAAAAGATAGGCACATGTGTATCACATGACATCACAAAAATCTTCCAAACAAAAGCTTTGTGTTTTGCAGATAGGACATTACAATCTTAAATGGATTTGAAGCACAACAAAGGATCAGAACTCTGTGCTCATTGCTATTATCAGGACATTTCCAGCATGCCTAACCACTGAGGAAAGAAATTTTAAAGTGAAAGTAAGATTCTTCACAAAAACAAAACTGAATTTTGAGAAAGTGGAAGAATTCAAATGATCTGAGGCAAAATCAGTACAGTACCACTCTAACTATATTCACATTCTGGAAGACACATTCCTATACTTTTGGCTGAGGCATGGTCCATGACCCCTGAGAACTACAGGGCAGTGAGCTTAGACTATATACCGAATTGTGTCTAAACCTTTGTGTCTAAATTGCATCTAAACACAACCTTCCTTGGCTGTCAGCTGAAGGACCAAGAAGTAGGCACAACCCAGGAGTGATGAGTACACTCAGCACTCAAATCTTGGTTCCCATTCCCTAAGGGAAAAAAAAAAAGCTGGAATCCTAGAAGAAATAGCAATTTCCAGCGTTAGACATAGAATAGCTAGCTACTGAAAAAAATGTGGTGTGTGACAATGAACTACTAGCTCCCACTGGCAAAGTCTGGACAATTTGAGCACCAAAATAGCATAGCAATAAATCTTAGAAGCCTTTCAAAAACGGGAACCCATGACAAATAATGATTATAAAGGGAAGGCTTGTGCATACACAGGATGATGCCACGTGCTGACTCAGAGAGGGAATACTAGAGCAAGGGAAGGGGGGAAATTTGCCTTTCTGTAATGCAACCACTGGAATAAAGAACACTGACACAGGCTAAAAAGTATGATGGGTAAGATATATGGAAGGTGTCAAATTTTCTCACCACCAACTGCTAATCAGTGACTGAGGGAAAACATGTACGACAACATGCCTGCAGATGTGACAGCTAATTTTTTCCCCCAAAAGTTGAGATGAGTGCAAGTTGAAGTAGACCTCAGAGCTATGAAAGCCAAATACAGTATCAGGTTGGATCTTATAGTAGAGAATGTTCTCGGGACAAACAAAATGAGAACACAGATTGTACTCTATGTTCTCTGCAAGCTTACCTAAGTCAGTAATTATACTATAGGGATGAACGAGAAGGACCTTAGTCTTTCTTACTAATACACAACAAAGCTTTTAGGGATAAAAGGAAAAGAGTATATATACAAGTTTCAAGTAATTAAAAAAATACAAAAGGCATGTGCCCAAAAACACGTGGGAGCACATATATGTGACAAAGCAGAAAGGGTAAACTACATTATGCTAGGTGACTGAGTTAAGGGTGCACTATTTTTTTTTTTAATTTTTATTTATTTATGCATACAAGAGCTGGGTAAAGGCCAGAGAGGCAGGAGGGTGAGAGGATTCACCAAAGACAGAGTAGGGAACAGAACAGGTAGACTTGACTGAAATACATTGCTAAGAGGAGCAGTGCACGAGTCAGGAGAGGTCTGCTTCGCCATGTGGGCGAAGGCCAGCCAGGGATCAAACTCTTGCTGCAGAGGCTATGGACTGCCTCATAGTGTGGTACTTAACCCCTTGCGCTACCAGGAAGGCCCACGGTGCACTATTTAGCAAATTTTCCTTTTATAGATTGAAATTACGTCAAAATAAAAAGCATAGACAAAAGAAGAATGGCCACTCAACCTTCTTTTGCAGATTCAGAAAGTTGTTCAAATTTCTGGCAACATTCCTGTTGGTGTGCTTCTGCCAACTTAACATCTTTGCTTTTCAACCGGGCCTTATCCAGTGCTTTATTTGAGTTCTCATAGTCAATGAGGGCTTTGGTGCGCCGATATAAAAGATCCTGAAAAGAAAATTAACAAACATGACATGGTAGCTGACCTATCTTGGAAATTCACTAAAGAGCAACACAGGAGAATCCACAGTGCCAACACACTGTCCGAAACATTAAACAGCAAGAATCCATCTCTACCTTTGCTCCCACAAGTCTCAAGATTTGTCTGGCACCAAGCATTGTTGAGTTTCTTCAGAATTTTTTTTTAAATATTTATTTATTTATGCATATAAGAACTGGGGTGTAGGCCAGATGTTGGGGGTCGGGGGAGAGGGAGGGAGAGAGGATTCACCAGAGATGGAGTGGGGAGGAGAACAAGTGAATTCACTGAAATACACTGCTAAGGGGAGCAAGTGGGCGAGACAGAAGAGGTCTGCTGTGCCGCCATGTGGGTTAGCTATCTGGCTGGGGATCAAACTCAGTCTGCAGTGGTGACAGCACTGAGACTTAACCCCTAGGGCACCAAGGAGGCCCTTCTTCAGAATTCTTTACAGGATTAAGAGGGAAAAAAAAAAAAAAAAAAAAAAAAGCAACGGTGGATTAAAGGATTTCTTCTCTAACTGATCCAGTAATTGAAAAGTAATTCAGAAAATGAACCAATGTATTGAACAAAAAAGTGCAGTTACTGCAAGGTGTGTCAACTGGTGGTAATAAACATTCTTACACCACCATCCATCCTGCAAATCCCACTTCTAGAGCTCTACCCTGGGTTAATGTGAAGATTCTTCCAATCTTATAGCAAAGTAGAAGTTACCACACATCTAAATGAGCAGTTATGATAAAAGCATCACAGATTCGTACATGAAGTTCAAATACACAATTATGGGACCTCCTTGGTAGTGCAGGGGTTAGTGCTATCAAGCTATCAGCAGCCACTGTGGCCTGAGTTCGATCCCTGGCCAGTGAGCTAACGCATATATGGCACAGCAGACCTCTTCTGTCTCACCTCCTGCTCCCCTCAGCTCCCCTCACCTGTATTTCAGTCAATCTGCCTGTTCTGCTCCCCATTCTGTCTCTGGTGAATCCTCCCCCTCCTCCCCACCTCTGGCTTACACCCCAGTTATTGTATGCATAAATAAATCTTAAGAAAACAAAAATATACAATTATGCCCAATTTTATATATACTCAAAAATAAGTAACGTAATATATTTTATATAAAAGTAGTAATAAATATTTTTGTTGGAGCAGTGTAGATAGTAGGAAAAAATGCATGCTTCATTCCCAGGTTATTTCCTTTACCATTTGGCTTTGGGCAAGTAATGGTTTGACGTAGGCTACAGTAGTAAGTACAATTTAAAATAAAAACTCAGAACCCCCAAAAAACCTCTTCTGCCTCAGAAACAGCCCTTTGGACATGTTTTTGGTTAGATCATGCACCCAATAACCTACAATCCCCAATACTGTTGTTTTACTCAGCACCATCCCTAGTGCACCTAAGCTTCTCACTTACAGGCATCCCAAATTTCTTTTGTTCATTTTTAACAAAAATACACCTCCAACATGAGAGGTACTCCGAAGTCACAGCAAGGTGGTCTTGCACTACTGAGTAGTTGAGGACACCTGTCTTACCTTGGCAGCCTCTATGTTGAGCATGTAGTATCGGAGAAGCTCTGTCAGCTTTAAATCTTCATCTGAGGACACTCTGCTTTCTACTTTCTATTTAAAAAAAGTAAAGGTCACCATCTATGCAGAAATTGACACATTATAAAATATACACTATCAAAATCATAAAAATCCTTACCCTAAGTTTTTCAAATAGCTCAGCAACCTTCAACAGGTACCTAAAAAAATACACACAATTTGATTTATGGTCTTGTGTCATGTATGAAATACAATCTTACTGTTCTAAGACATAAACGAAGTCCTAGTCTTTCATGTTTTAGACTTAACTTATTCAAGTAAATGCTTTCATCATAATCAACCCATCAATAGATGTTCATGAAATCAACCAAATTTATAGCGTGCTATGCTCATGGACATTATCCCTTCTCAGTTCTCCTTCAAATACCTGTGATACGGTTTCTTACCCAATGGCAAAGTCATAAATATTAACCACAGTCGGGTCCCACAAAGCCATTAATACGTTATTTCAACATGAATCTGCCACAGGTCTAACTTTCATTTTCACATCAGAAATACCACCACCTAGATATTACACCAAACCTAGGGGTTAAGTGGAATGCTATCTCATACCAGAAATGCCTAGGATAGAGAAACTGGGGGAAAAAAATAAACACAACAGCTACCATGCTTCTTCTATACAAGTGTCTTCTATGTCCGCTTTGAACTTATATGTACAGAATTTTAAAGATTTGCTGCTGGAATCTACTACTTACCTTAAATGAGCCTACACTGCAATAAAGAACTGACACTATGTATCACCTAATACTCTTCAATTAGGGAATTAGGGGGAATGCTTTTCAAAGAAAAACTTATTTTTTTTTAAAGATTCATTCATTTATGCATACAAGAGCTGGGGCACAGGCCAGATATGCAGGAAGCGAGAGGATCCACCAGAGACAGAGTGGGGAACAGAACAGGCAGACTGACTGAAATACACTGCTGAGGGGAGCAGCGAGCGAGACAGGAGAGGTCTGCCTCACCATGTGGGTTTCTCCTGGGGATCAAACTCGTGCTGCAGAGGCTGCGGACCGCTTGATAGTGCAATGCCTAACCCCTTGCACCACCATGGAGGTCCAGAAAAACTTACTTTTTGATGACTGTGGGTTCTTCTAAAGCCAGGCTATGGAGGCAGGCTGCAGTGTGGATATAGTCATCTGCAACATCTGCAGAAATAAGAACAGCCCTTTTTTATATGAACAAGGGTTGCCCATTAGCAAAGCAAAATGACTATGAATGAATGGTATTTACTTTTATGAGATCTGGTCATTTTGTCAGCTTTTGCACAAGAATCCTTGATCCGATTATAATAGTTGATAAGAAAATTCTTCTCTTGCTCAAAGAAGTCATCTACCTCCTAAATGGGAGGAAAATGGAAGTTGAAGCAGCAAAACTTTTAAGAATACAATTATCTGCTCTGCATTAGAACACAGACACAAGCTCATTAGAAACACATAAGACAGAAGCTCCCTACAGACCAGGGAAATGCAAATTGACAAGATACCATATCATAATCAAGATAAGCAAAATTAGGTGATGGTGGGACATGTCAAATCTCTGCTATCCTCTGAGATCCAGCAACTCTCTTGATAGAGCAGTGGTATTGTGTGGTAGGATGCTGCCTGACTGTGGATACCCTTTAATCTGTGTTGGGCATGGGTGGCGATGGTTGGCTGAGAATAGGAAGCAATACTGACATTTGGTAGGCACTGGTGAGGGATGCTAAAATGCATGCATCCAGGACAGTCCCACACACCTTAAAAGTGAGTCAGAGACAGTTTCTAAATTTCGGACACATACTCAATTTCGGACTCTTTACTCAAGCCTTCAGTGGCTAAGTCAGACACACCAGATGGTAACTATTAAGGTAACTCAAAAAGGGGTAAAAGTAAAGAAAAATTATACCTACAAGGAAATGAGACTCGTGTGTTAATTTGATTTTCTACAATAGCACTATCCAGCAGAAATATGTGAGCTGCATGTGTGATGTAAAAATTTTCTAGTGGTCTCATTATAAAAACAGGTGAAATTACTGTCTCTTAATATATATCCTTATTATTGCAACACATAAAAGAGAACAAGACATCTCAAGTTCTTCATAAAATCCATGAAATCTAGCACACAAATTAAAAGGTTTTTCTCTTAATTGTGCCAGCTAATTATTTCAAGTGCTCAAATGCCACATATGACTGGAAATATAAAGGACAGTTATTGTGGAGAACAGCATAACACTCATTTTTGTGGCTTATTTTCTTTTCCTTAAATTAAGCATTTCTATTTATTTATTTATGCATGTATGCATGCATGCATGCATACATACATACATACATACATACATAAAGCAAGCAATGGGTACAGTGAGAAGCGCAGGAGAGTGAGAGAATTCAGCAGAGCCAGAGCAGGGAGCAGAACAGGCACACTGATGAACTACACTGCTGAGGGGAGCAGCGGGTGCAGCAGGAGAGATCTGCACACCATGTGGGACCCTCACCGGCGGCCAGGGATCAAACTGGCACTGTAGAGGCTGCGGGCAGCTTTGCAGCCCAGCGCTCAACTGCTGAGCCACTGGGCAGGCCCCTTATTTTCTTTTTTAAATTAAATAACCCCTTTCCTTTACAGACAAGAGAAAAATAAGGACTTAAATATGGCCAAGTAAAAATTCAATGTGTAGCTAAATATAACCAAAACCTGAAAACCAAAAAAAAAAAAATCTGAAGACCAAAATCTGAGAAATTGAACACCATGTTTCACATGTATCTCTTCCAAAGAAATAAAAGGTCATCTATTCACATGAAGTCATAAATTTTCTAAAACAGCTAAAAGCCACTCACCTTAACTCCAGAAAAAAGGACTTCATCAGCACTTTTCACCACACTTTTGAAAAAGCCACCAAACACCTCTTTGGTATTTTTCCGCCTAACACTTAGCTAAAGGAAGAGAATTCAAAACAAGAGCTTACAGTATATACTTTCCTAGGCAACCAGTACTATTTACTCTAAGCATACACATAAGATACCAAGAATTCCACCCTAACCATCAGATCTAAAACACCTAATGAATGAGATAAACCTAAACACAATTCATTTTTCTAAAAGTATGACTACTTCAGAGATATTTTAAAGATCAGTCATGCACCACATGTTTGTGGCTTTTAAATCCCTATAAAATTATCTTTTTTCCTATGTTGCTTATTAAACTTCATGGGTTAGAAGATGAGAAAGTATCTAAGCCACAACTTATCTCATACACATAAGCAATAAGAAAATAAGTGTGCTAAAAAAAATGCACAATTCTCAATTTAAATTCCTTCTAACAATTTCAAACTTAATGGTAGGAGAAAACTTCAGAGTGGGAAAAAGTCAAAATCTTTAAGCAGTTTTATAAAAATCTATGGAGAAGGGGCATCATAATATTTCCACTGTTAGATTCAGAAATTTATGTCCATTTTTTTAAGAAAATCTATCAAGCATATTTTAACTGGATCATGAAAATGAAAAGGTCTTACATCCTGATCATATTCCAGAAAAACATGAAAGTTGCGGTCTTTACTGAGAACAGGGTGAGAAGACAGGCGCTGAAGAAAGACTTCATGGGAGGATACAGTCTTCTTAAAGACAGCAAGATATTCACTGAAAGAGAAGCACATACATAGCATTCAATTGATATCATTTCACTATCTGATCAATGCTGTTCCCAGTTTAACCTCACTTTTCTATTAATACCACTAAATAAAATACCCCAAAATAGACCAAAATATTTTTGTATGACTTTTTATCTATCAGAGGCCACTGCCAATTTTGGAGTCTGTGACAACGGGGAAAAGTGATGTTGGAATTGATGGAGCATGTCGTTGAAGTTCCTACTGCAACACTGATTTAAAACCATGAAACCCTTGGAACTATCAGAAAATATAAAAAATTTTCTTTCAAGCTAGATATTACAGATCACTTTAAATTTCCCCACGGTAGGGACGTAAGTCTGTTGTATTTGTATTCAGGTGCTCAGGGCTAGTCAAGACTGGCCCTAGACAATATGGGCTTGAGAACACCAAAGAGAATTCCTGAAATAGACACCTGAATTCTAATATGCTAATGCTGGAAAAGGGCTTCATAAGAAACCTGAATGCAAACCTCAACTACAAAAAATTATTTTGTTTGAAATAATTAAATTACCACCAGATTAGAACAAGCTTTCTAAGAATCTGGAGTACTTTCACACCATAAGGGTGGTTACTATTCAGAAGGCATCTTTGTAACAGCATTCACCACTGCAATCTACTTTCAACTTATACTTCAAGCAAACTTCAGAGACAAAAGCAGCTTTATAATCAGCAGCAGCAGGAAAAAACACAAAGGTTTGCTTCTTCGCTTTACCCAAACAGCATCCCACTAACAAGTATGGTATGCATAGAGGAAAACCAGTCTGTCATGTTAATGGTCCCCAGGGAATCACTGGCTATTATACAGAGACCATGCCCCACACTCTGCAAAATAACTATACTTAAAAATTAGCTGCCAGGTTCCTCTACTGATTTCTATAAATGCACAACCACTTTCTTATTTCTCAACAGAGCAACATCAAAAAAATCCACTTACGCTTCTAGCTCTTGCTTCATCTTGGCAAATTCTTCTTTGGTCATAGACCCTTCACCTTCTCCCAGTTTCTGCATCTTCTCTCGAGGACCATCAAAGTCAGGCTTTGTAGGAGCAGGGGGAATCTGCAGCAGAGACAAGTAACTTGTGAGCATTCTTGTATTAGCAGTGATACTCTAATTAGTGACTGCACAGGAGACAGCCCAGTGAGGCTATCTTAAAAGTCACTTTTACTCTTAACTCTATTCCTTTGGGCAACCCGAAACAAGTATCCTCCCCACATTAGGCACTTATGATACCTTATGATCATGTTCAGTTTACTTACTACTAACAATTGGCAGGACACAAGGAAATTTACCCTGCTTTGCTGTTGGTTTAAAATTTATTATAATCAATGCTAAAATGAAGTCAATGGGGCCTTCCTGGTGGCACCAAAGGTTAAAGTACCAGCGCTATCAAGCTATGACACTATCACCAGCCACTGTGGCATGAGTTCGACACCCGGCCAGGGAGCTAACACACAGACCTCTCCTGTCTCGCCTGCTACTCCCCTCAGCCGTGTACTTTTTCAGTGGACCTGCCTGTTCTGCTCCCCACTCTTTCTCTGGTGAATCCACTCACTCCCTCACCTCTGGCCTATACCCCAGTTCTTGTATGCATAAATAATTAAAATAAATCTTGAAGAAAAAAAAATAAAACTAAGTCAATGAAGTATCAAGGTTATAGTCTCTAGACTTCAAAAAAAAAAGATTTTCAAATTTTTCATTTCAGGGGATAATAAAGGTTTTAATTATTGAGTGAACAGACATACCAAACATAAACTTCAGTACTAATTCTATTTTGCCAGTTCTTCAGTCAGCCTTGAAGACCAAGCCACACTTAATTCTCCTTTAAAATCAGTTAAGTCTCCGCCTCAACTTGAACAGACTGTAGAACTTTTGAGAAACCTACTGCATACCATCACCAATGCTGAGATTTTCCTACAAATCAATTCTACTTAACACCTGAAAGAAAATGTTAGAGAAATGCCAAATTCGATGCAGATAAGGTTTAATTCATTAAACTATTTATATTTTACTCTTACATTCTGTACAATATGTGCTTCATTTCATAACTGTAACACCATGTTCACAGTTTATTACCAGAAATTGCACATTCTCTAGTAGGCAGATTCATCAGACCATTTCATGATCCATTATAAGTTCTCTTTAAATGAAATGAATAGCAGGCTTCCCTAGTGGTGCAGGGGTTAAAGTTTCAGTGCTATCAGGCTATCGCCAGTGACTGTGACATGAGTTCAATCCCTGGCCAGGGAGATACCTACATGGCGCAGCAGACCTCTCCTGTCTCGCCCGCTGCACCCCTCAGCAGTGTATTTCAGTAGATCCGCCTGTTCTGCTCCCCACTCCATCTCTGGTGAACCCTCTCACCCTCCACATCTCTGGCCTACACCCCAGTTCTTCTTTGCATAGATAAATAAATCTTTAAAAAAATAAACAAGGTTAAAAAAAAAAAAAAAAAAAAACACAAAACAACTCCAGTAAATCACTTGATTTTTCCAAGATGCACTTACAATAAGCCCAGCATAGTCTGTAGTTTCAATAAGAGTGTCGTGTAGCCACACAAAGTCTTCATGCTGTCTTGTAACAGAAAACTCCGGGCTTTGAAACGTAGGCAGCGTGGTCTGTAAAGAAAGGAATGAAAAATTAACTGGTAACCCCACCACTTTTAGATAAAGAGGTTTGGGTTTCCTGGGCTGTACTGTGGAAAAATTCTGCATAATAAAACATAACATTGAAATCCAATAAAGAACAAAAAGCAACACATCATCTCTCCACCACTATGAAAGTCACTACTAATGTAATACTTGTTCATTAAAGAATTACTTTCACAAAACTACAACTTTCAGATCAGCTTAATTAAGTTGTTTTCACATGGCTTCCTAAATAACTGAGTTATGCTAAATCAAGTCACCAAGGTATTAAGAGAAAATTAGGGGAGAGGACCTTATAGATAGCTGGAAACAGCATGAAACATATCATCCAACTGCCTGATTCAAACTACACCCCAGTTATTTATTTAAAGTTTCTATCTATTGCCTCATCAGCATAAGCACCACCATTAGCTTTTGATAAAGACAAAACTAAATCAATATGAAGTTCCCTTTACCACAGGGCAGAAGACAAGCATTTAATACCTTTTAAATAGTACTTAAGTAGAAAGAGGCTAAAAACTCTACTGTACGAGTGGAAGATCTGAGTTGTTTTATTATGTGACCCCACTTGTATCACAGTACCTGGTTTGCTTCCTCATGGAATAATAGAGCATAAGCCACAATTATCAGCAATGCCCAGTCATAGTGGAAAATGCTAGAGCTAGGGCTCCTATCTAATGCTTACTATATTCGGGATGATAAAAGTTCACACTTAATGGTAAGTGCTATACTACAAATCAACAGCATCCTTCTAAGTATAGCAAGTCTCTTCTCACACCCACCATGAAGAACAAGGCTGCAACCTAGCGTTTTTATTGAAGTCTCTCTGTCACTTACCTTGGTGTGCACTGTAAATTTGACCTTATCTCTCTCACTGAGTGCATCAGGTATATCAATCTGAAGTGAGGGATCAACATTCAGGTCCACAGATACAGACCTCAGCTGAAATAAAAATGGGAACTAGTAATTAAAAAGCAGTTTATACAAGTTCATTCAGAGCAAAGTCAGTTGCGATACCTTAAATATGTATTTGAAATTGTGAGAAAACTTCCTAAATGGATGTGGTTCCAAAGTCTTCTTGTAAATAAAACTATATATCGTATACATTACACATTGTATGTCTACATGAAAATACATTTAATTAAATACTGAAGAATTCTACTAAGGCAATCAAAGAAGTTAGAGACTACAAAAATTTACAGAGAAGGCACAGAAAACAGTCATGTGGTATGGGATAAGATAAAAAAGATAACCTCAGGAGTGAACCTGTTTATATTCAGGGACTGTTACCAAAGAGATAAGGAAACTAGATGAGGTGAACTGTAAAAACTAACAACCCAAGTCTTGTTTAGCAGAACACCAGTGTGGCTGTAATGTGAGTAATGGGGCCTCCCTGGTGGCACAAGGGGTTAAGATGCAACCTATGAAGCTACCCGCAGCCTCTGCAGCACGAGTTGGATCCCCGGCCAAGGAGCTACACACAAAGTGCAGCAGACCCCTTCTGACTCACCCACTGCTCCCCTCAGCAGTGTATTTCAGTCAGTCTGCCTGTTCTGTTCCCTACTCTGTCTCTGGTGAATCCTCTCATCCCGACACCTCTGGCCTGTACCCCAGTTCTTGTATGCATAAATAAATAAATCTTAAAAAACAAAAGTGTGAGAAATGACCTAAAAACACGAGCAATGACCTAAAAATGAAAGTAATGAACCGAGTTTGTAAGTTAGAAATTCAGAGGAAAACATGCCCAACTCCACTTTTGCCTGTTTAAAAAGATCTTTTTGGAAGAACTGAGTTATTAAGAGCTACTAGAATGGTTTTCCTACAAATTTACAATGACAAACTCCCTAATTCTTAAACAAGCTGAGGGTCAATTTCAAAGGCCTGACACAAAGCATGCAGTTAACACTAGATTATTGAACAAAGGGAAAATGCCAAGTAAAGACTGCAGTTAAGAGGATGAGAAAATAGGAATACTGACGCATTTCCTTTTAAATTTCTCTCTAGATTCTTTTCAAAACTAAAGGTTCAACACCGAGGATTGACGCATTGAATTTCTAAAACTAGAAAAACTGGTTGAATTGGGTATGAAAAGATTAAACACCATTTTTTCTTTAGCATGACTATTGACTAAAATCTGTGAAAGCCAGAGTTAGCTGTGACAATGGATTTCCTCTAAGAAATTGGTTTTAAGTTGTTACCAGAACCTGATTTTAACACCAGCTATTAGTAAGATCACAATAAACTTAATAGTTTCCAACATCAACCTAAATATTTCTCCCAAATGAATTCTTGATGATCCCTATGAAATAGTTGCTTATTTGGCTGATTTTTCACATGTCCATTTATTTATGAGATCTCTGCAACCAAAGATAAAGCTTCAAGGTCAGCGATACTTCATTTTATAACAACTGTGACTAGAGCTGACATATTTCTGATAAAAGCTTCCTTCCTTCTGATAACTTTCCACTGGGCAAACACAGTATCCAAGATTTCAAAATATACACTAGAATTTTATTGCAGAGGATCCTGATTGGCCACCCTACCTATCTTGTTTGTAATGGTTACTTTTGCCAGGTCCAAGTATAAAGTGGGTCATGTATAAGAAGGGCAAGTCACTGGTAAAAAAGATGGGATAGCCTACAGGACAGACCTAAGGTGCATTTCTCAGAGCTCAGCAACAACTGTCTTCTTTCTGAAACTCCATTTCCTAAAGAAGCCAAAATCCTGGCCAGAAGTCAAAATTCTGGCCATCTCTTGATCTTTAAATATACCGACAATTCCACTTTAGCTCACTTTACAAGTCAAGTAAATTCACATGGACTATCTTCGATTTCAGGGGTGGGGAGAGAATTTAATACAGTGAATAGGGCTCATTTAAGTCTACAATCAAAGCTACAATGAACCCGACCAGTTCCTTTTTCATTCCATTGGTCTCCCCTCTTCTTCCTTACTCACAGGTTTATAGAAGTAATACTCAAGGACTACTACTATATTAATAGCTTCCTTTGTTTTCAGCTCAGAAATATTTCTTCTTGGTCAAGAATACAGAAAGAATAAGGGATAACAAAAAGTGCTAAAGGTTTTGAAAGCCTGTGAACCATAGCAGGATATCAAGCATATCCTTGCTTTCCCAGTAGTGATTCTTTTTGCCTGTCCCTAAGAGTTAAAAATACTGGCAAAATTCTGAGCATCCAGGCCATCATCAGCAACTCAACAGTTGCTGTTCACAAGTTACATGAACTTTCTTATTTTGTGGCATAGACCTCCAGAGATAATGAAAGAGATAAATCAACAAGGAGCAGGAAGTTGTGAAATGTTTCAAGTTTGTAAGTCAGCACTGTACCCTCAGCTCCAGAAGTATATTCTGGAATGTGATTAAAAGCTCAGCAGTCCTTCTGCTTACTCAACAAAACCAAGGCCCCACAGCCACACCCCACAGAACTTGGTAAATACGAAAACCACTAGGCTGGAGGGTATAAGAACTCTTCCACTCCCACCCATCTGCCACCCACCTAAATGCCCTACGCTTAAAAAGTGTTCAGTACAGCTTAGTCCTGCTAGTCAACACTAAGTCTCTGAAATGGGTCACAGATGCCAAAATGCCTGTTTAAGGCAGGGTTCAGAACCAAAATTAATTAATTAGGCATGTTAATTCATGTTTAAAACGAAACTGTTAGATTTCTACAGAAACCACTGTATCACATACTTAAAAAGTTTTATAGGTTCAGCCTCAGTGTACTCTACTACCAGATTAATCCTTACCATAATGATTACAATAATTTGTGTGAGAAGGAAAAAAGAGGTAAACAAGTATTACTTCATTTAGAAAGCAAGTTTTTAACTTAATTTAAATAAATGCAAACATTTTTCATAAAAGTCTGAAAGGAAAAAAACTGGGAGAAATCCCTACGAATTTCCTCTCCTGTTCATCAGCCTTCCCTCCCCACTGGGAACTTGACAGTGGCTGCAGCCAAGGACCACTTTTAATCCAAATTTCACTTACAACTCTCACTTTGGTACAAGATTTAACACCATCTGCAAAGTTCCTTCTTCAAAAGAGTTAATGGCTCACAGATGGCAAAGGGCACATGTGTGACTGGACAACACAGAAGGCAGGATTCTGAAAGTCAGAATGTACAGGGGAAACACCGAAAACAGAGAGAAGGTATAATATAATTGTTATGCCTGCTTCAGATTCCAGTTTCTATTAATGCCATACAACCAAAATGACAACATATTAAGCGAAGGTATCATGTACGGTGACTTCTAGAATGGGATTTAGCTGAATGCCATTCAAATCTTACCAGTTTTACACACAATGTTAGAAGTCAAATGTCATTCCCATCTTAATTTGCATGTTACAAGGAAACTAACATACACAAAGGAAAAGAGACTATTTGGATATATTTAAATAACTGCTTAGTGTCTACTCCCAAAGCAAAAGAATATACTTAAATTAGCATATACATGTCTTCTTTTGTCTCTCACCTAGATATTTTCGCTTTGCTATCCTTCACCCCATGCTTAAGAAACAAACCCCCCTACCAAGGAGGGGGCCAATATGACAAGTCACCCATGAATGGCTTGTTAGCTGGATGGAGTGAAAACAGGGAAGGGAAATGCCTCCTGAATCAGATTTTTATTTTTATCATTAAATAATACAAAAATGTTCTGCTGCAGATACACTCTAGATATGCACTCATTTCTGAAAATTAGACTCACATGAATTACTACTTATAAAGAACATATATTACTTTTCTGTTTTAACTCACAGGAAAAAAGAGTGCTTAAGAAATTCTAATAGTATATTCTTCTCCAACCCCCTCTTCTTTATGCAAGTTCAAGTATTACTGCTAAGACTATTTGTTACTATTTTCTTTCAGAAGGTAACTAAAACCCTAAAACTCATTTATCTGCATTCTATCCAAGCTTTCCATTGTGTCACTGATATGTGAAAACTAAATGGACTTACTTAAACAGCTATTTATTTCCATCTCCTGCCTCCCCACCCCGATTCATTTTCCCCCTTCTAATTATTCAGGCCTGCCAATATCACATCTTGGTCCTCCTCTCAAGGATAACAGAACCAAAGACTTCTAGGATATCTTTGTCTAATAGAAATGGTCAAGGAAGTTAATCAAACATGAACTAAAGGGCTGCAGCAAGTGATCAGATTTCCACCACTCATCTTGGTTAGACAGGACCCAGAGGGACCCATCCTGCTGCCACCAACCATTCTTACCAGCAGTCCACCAACACACAAGCTGTCTGTGGTAGAACACCGCAGACTGCAGGGCATTGGAGGCTACGAAGCCCCAAGTTCCTAGAACAGGAACCAAGGCTTGGAAGAAGGTCAGTGCTGCACACTCAGCGAATGGATAAACTAAATCATCATTTCACAAAGCTGCAAACAAGCCCCATAGAATGAGACACTAAGTTGAATTAATGACTTCATATTCATTTCAAACAACCCATATAATTACTAGATACCTGTATTGTCAAATGAAAGGGTTTAACAATGAGACCCGTAAAAACATCCTAGCACATAAATTCTATTAGGAATCAACACATTACTGCTACAGAGAAAACAACTGCAACAAATGTAAAACTAATTTCTTCCATTCAAAGTTATAGCCTACTACCTGATCCCAACAAAGCTCCCTCCCTAAAAAAATATATTCCCTGGTATATCAAGTCCACAGCCACCTGCTACAAGTATGTCCTGTTACACATTACTCACGGTGACAAACATGTTTAATAACATTCACTGCCTGACCTTTCTGGTTTACTTTATTATACACCCAAGATGAAACACAAAAAGGTTTGAAAACTTAAAAACTTACCTTTACCACCACCAAACATGATTCAGCAAAATGTAAAGAGCTGTGTGGACTTAAGCCTGTGTCGTCTAACTTGTGTCAATTAAATAGCAGCATGGAAAG